TTTTTTTTCTTTTTCTTTTGTTCATTTTACTGGATTTCGCGGCCTGTTTGAGTACACTTATTAATGGTTTGTTTGTGAACCGAATCGTGCTTATTCCCCGGTTCGGATTATGTAATTTTATGACACTCCTTCATTTGCAGAAATTATGGTTTCTTCTGAATCCACACCAAGGGATTTGTTTTCTCTCATCTATTCTGTGTACTATCAATATAGTTCACTCACAAGTGATGCCTTCAGCCTTCAGGTGCAGATAATGCACTTTTGCTGTGGACACTGTTTTTACCTTTTTACCGTGGATCCACACTCATATATTTGTGTGTTTTTGTATACACTTTGTTGTGGGCACTGTTTTTACCGTGGATCCACACACCCATGTATGTATGTTTTTGTGAGGTAGAACAGTTAAAATCCATCCATGCGTGTGTGTGGTACAAAGGTAAAAAGTGCAATCTTGTGAAAGTTTTCACTTTGCACAATAAATTTTCTCCGAAAAATAATCAAAGTCTCAGGAAAATAAACCAAATTTTGGAATGAAACCTCACTAAGGTACATTTAGGCTCACCCTCGTTATGATGTGTTTTACGTGCGTGGATCCACATAATTAAATATTGCTTTGATAATGGCTATTATAGAATAGAAAAAGGAGAGAAGTTTAGAAGTATTGTATTAGTCCCTTGGATATTTTAATTCTCAATAATTATTTTATAATTTTTAAAATTGATCAATTTGTATAATAATTTTTGAGAATTTTGAGTACGCAGTTCAATAATGCAAATGAAGGTTTAGTAGTTATTATTGTTCAAGCTTCACTTCTGAGAGTTTTGAGTACACAATTCAACAGTACAGAGTACAAGACCACATATCATCCCATATTGATGAGAGAAAAATCGACCGAAAAAGTTTAACACGGGCCGGGCTGGACTTTCATAATCTCTTCAAGCTTTTCTTTCTAGCATCGATCTTCTTTTTGTCTGCCGGGACCTTACTCAGACCTGTCTCCTTCTTTAGGGCGGCCACTGGAGCTATCTCAGCTGATGAAGGGGCTGCCGCCAAGTAGTCCTGACCGTTTTCCGGTTTGGGTGCAAGTGGGGATGACAGCTGGCACGAAACGGGCTGGTTTTTCTTCTGGTCGGGCAACTTTGCTGATGTATTGGCCGGCTCGACGTTTAGGGCTGTGGTGGACTCGAATATTGGGCCTGATTTGAGCTTCTGCTTGGGCTTCAGGGCATGTATCCCAGTGTATAGCCTGATTTGAAACATCAATATAAATTTATTCGCTAAAAAGCTATAATATCAAAGTTATCAAATTTGGTTTGAAACTTGACATGGATGGGTTTTTTTTTGTTTTTTTTCAACAATGGCGGACTTATAAAAATCGGCATTCATTTTTTATAAACGAAGCAACGCCAGCTGATGATCCTTGAATCAATTTAGTTTACTCACCGGCAACATGACACAAATTTTATAGAGAAAAAACGATCACACATTCGTTACAAATCAATTCCTCAATCACTCGGCATTCCTACTGTTTTTCTGTATTTTTATGGTTCACCATTTTTTAGAGAGAAAAAAACACGGAGTTAAACACGAGAGAATGAACGAGAGCTATCATTTGCAAACACACACCTGGCATGTCTGGCATACTCTTCGTAATCTTCGAGCAGCATCTTGCCAGCCTGCTCATTTAAAGCAGATTCTGGAAATGGTTCGATCAATAAGCATCTAATCACCTGTCCATTAGCAGAAGCACGCGAAATATGAAAAAAGAAAAAAAATAGCCGACACAATATTGTTTAAAGACATAAAGATAAATAACTGAAAATTTATTACACACTGGATATTGTCTTACAATTAAGACATGGCGTAGGCCAAGAGTCGGGCTCCAATCTTTCTTCAGAGCATTCACGCAGATCTCGCCATTTGTCGCAATATTAGGATGAAAAATCTTGGTCAGAAAATATCCNAAAAAAAAAAAAAAAAAGACACAACCACTAACTGAGCTTAGAAAGTTTATAGTATACACAGAACTAATTATGAATAGAATTCAAGGAGATATAAGGAAATATATGTTCGAGATTATTAAGGATTTGGGCAACCTATGGTTGATACACGAACCAAGAAAACGAGAATGGAATACTAAATGATACGTAAATATATTGTTCGATATGTTAATTCACATAGCTAAAGAGAATAACACTAATAATTAAATACATGCCTTCCAAAGGAAAAATAGAACTGAATATGTTCATAGACTTTTGCCTAACAAGATCAAAAGTAAGAAACTAAATGCATGCTTGGAAGGATTATATTAGCTGTAGAAGATCACAAACCTTTCGGTGGAGAATGTGGAAAATCATGAGATAATATCAACTTCATGCGGAAAACCCCATTTTCGTATGGCGTTCCAGCTGCAAAAAAAGAATATGGAAAATCAATCACAAAAAGATTATGGCATCATATATATATTTCTATAAGTACCTCAACTCCACAAAAAAGGGGAAGAGAGGGAGAGAGAGACCTGGGCCTTCAATATCAGCGTATATAACTGAAAAATTATCATCGTTCACTCCAACTTTGATGCCCTCCGGAGGGGTTTCATCGAGATTCTTCAGCTCCTTTGCCAGCTGTTTTATGACATTTGGAGGGAGATTCTCATTTGTTGCCTAAACACCATGTTAACAAGTGAAAGACATAAGCCGATGAAAACTCTTCGAATGCAAATTGATGATACTCATGGAAAACATGCTTCAAAATCTCTTTAATCATTCAATTCAAACTGTCCAAAGAATAAAAGATTAATAATAAATCAGTATTCAGTGTCATAGAATGAAAATTCAATTCCCTCAGTCGATTTTTTTTTTTTTTTTTTTTTTTTTTTTTTTTTTTTCAGACAGCATATTTAGGCTGAGCATTTAACATTACCATAATAAGCCCTTGCGACAGAACAAGAGCTAACTCCTTTTTATTATTTCTTTAAACGAAAAATGGTACTCCCAATAGCTGCTTCAAGATTACTGTTATCTCAAGTTATGAGTTTATCAAAGCCAAGCCCCAGAAAAATTCCTGCACAGAAACAGAATGGGCAATTCAGTAATATGAAGCCAAAGATAATCGAGTAAAAAAAGTATACAATTATGTTATCATTAGCTGGATTCCTGATAATATATCAGTCCTAAACTCCACACGAAAACTTAACACTTACTACACTTAATAGAAGCCACCATATTTCTATGAAGATGCGATATTTCGAGCAAAAAGCTTATAGAAGTAAATTCAAAAACTGTGACAGCTAATTAAACTAGAGCAAATAGACACCTTGTGCAGATCATAACTCAATCTTTATCTAATCCATGAGATCAGCGATTTTCCCCCAAAATTAGAGCAAAACACTACACAAAGGTGAATGATCAACCAACTACAGAACAATATAAATAATATAATCTCTCGAGTAAAAACCATAACGGTTAAACCTTTTTCAATTGACACTGCAAGAACCAAAAGAATTTCACATGAGAAGCATCTGTCAAATCTACATCTTTCGGATGGATATACCAAATGAGGTAAAGTATAAACCCTAATTGAACCCCTCAATAAGCCACCTCAGTTTTTACTCCATAAAGGTTAAACCTTTTTCAATTGACATTGCAAGAACCAAAAGAATTTCACATGAGAAGCATCTGTCAGAGCTACATCTTTCGGATCGATATACCGAATGAGGTAAAGTATAAACCCTAATTGAACCCCTCAATAAGGCACCTCAATTTTCTCCATAAAGGTTAAACCTTTTTCAATTGACATTGCAAGAACCAAAAGAATTTCACATGAGAAGCATCTGTCAAAGCTACATCTTTCGGATCGATATACCGAATGAGGTAAAGTATACACCCTAATTGAACCCCTCAATAAGCCACCTCAATTTTTACTCCATAAAGGTTAAACCTTTTTCAATGACATTGCAAGAACCAAAAGAATTTCACATGAGAAGCATCTGTCAAAGCTACATCTTTCGGATCGATATACCGAATGAGGTAAAATATACACCCTAATTGAACCCCTCAATAAGCCACCTCAATTTTTACTCCATAAAGGTTAAACCTTTTTCAATTGACATTGCAAGAACCAAAAGAATTTCACATGAGAAGCATCTGTCAAAGCTACATCTTTCGGATCGATATACCGAATGAGGTAAAGTATAAACCCTAATTGAACCCCTCAATAAGGCACCTCAAAAATGTTAACAAAATACGAAAGTAATTCAGAACACCCCGAATTCAAGAAACCCATAATTCCGCGCATAAAAATTGACAAGGAAAAGCTTTAAACGCTCAAGAAACACAGCAATTACAAAGGCACCCACAAAGAAAAAGGAAACCAAAATTAAAAAAAAAAAAGTACCTTCAGCCAAGACTCGGGCCGAATCTGCGAGAGAACGAGATGGGCTAACAAATTTGATCTGAAAAAACTGAATATAAAGGAAATGGGTTTTGCAGATACACTTGTAAATGATCGAATGATTGAATTTTCAGAGAGAAAAATGGCGTTTCTATGGGTTAAGCTATATATACACGCAGATAAAATTGAATCTTGAGAGGTTGGGAAAATGGGGTTTTCCTACTTTCTATTGTACCGTTGCAATCCACCCCATCAAGATTCACGCCTTTCAAACTTTGAACATTTTTTTCTATTTAAATTTTTTCTACAACTTCATTTTTTTTTTTCTTAAATACTTTGAAATAAAATAATAATTAAAGTTAATCATTGTTGGGAGACTCACCCACCACTGCCAGGTGTGCGACCCGGGTCGACCAACGCATTAGTCGGGACATAGTTCCAAATACCGTGGCTGGCTACCAAAAAAAAAAGTTAATCATCTGTCACATCAATTTGTTAATATATTAACTCGTTTTAACATATTAACTTGTGTCTATATTATATTATTTAGTAGATAACTAAGATAAATGGTGATTAAACTTTGGTTATCATTGAACAAAAAATATTGTGTGAGGTTGTCTAATCTATCATACAAACTGTTTAAACAAAAATATTTATTTATATTATAGTGTATTATACTTTTTTTATACTTTGCATGACACGACATTTCACTTAAAAGCAGTGTTATAAAAGTCGCTAGGCGCCCGCTAGACGTTCGACCAGCGCATAAAGCACATAGGCGGGGCATTGAAATCAATATTAAATAACTTATTTTTTATTTATTTTAACTACCTACAAAACAAAATATCTCAATTTATAATATATCGACACACCTAATCTAAATAATAAAATTAATATATTTTAAAGAAAGCATTGTGACAACAAAATATTGTAATTAATATTAAAAAAAAAAACTGAAAATTGCCGCCGAGCCCGCTTAGGAGCGTCTAGGTCCACCTATGCCCCCTAGGCGCCGCCTAACCACCTGGCCGCCAAGTCCGCCTAGGGCCGCCTAGCCGCTTGGCTGATTTTTTCTGCCGATTTGTGCAAATCGGAGGCGCCCAGACACCGCCTAGCGCCTAGGTCGATTTTTAAAAGAGTGCTTAAAAGTACATATCTTTTTGAAAAAAGAAATAATTATCTAATAACAAATAGACATATCTATCCACTTATGATTATTAAAGTAGGTTTACAAATATTGTAAGCAAATTTTGCATATTTCATGAATAAGACCGTTAGTGGCCAAACTAGCCGTTATAGCACATATATTTCATGTATCATATTCAACATGCTAATAACCTTATAGCACATATAAATTTACAGATTCAGGCAATAACCACTTTTTGTGTGTGAAATCTCAATGACAGTACTGTAAATATGATTTAAGTATTTAATTAGATTATACATTATATGTATAAATAGCGAATTAATTTTACAAATTAAGGTGTAATTCTAGTGTCCATATCCCCTATTCAAGTTATCCCTATAATAATTTTCAGTTAGTTTGAACAGTAACTTAACAATTGAGTATGAAAATTGAAAATAAAATTGTGAGTGTTATAATGGTTATAGTACTGAAATTAATATAAACTTCAATGTATTATAGGGGAGATGCTACCGTCCCGTTACGGTACCATTCCGTCAGTTGTTTTAACCGTTGGATCTACGTGTAGTTAGATAAGATAGATGATCCAACGGTTAAAACACTCGACGGAATGGTACCGTAACGGGACCGTAGCATTTCCGTGTATTAAGTTTAGGAATTATACTTTATTGAATTTGCAATTTACCTTATGTTTGTTGATGGACTAGTTAAGTGGTATCCAGACAGCTGGGCCATTGGAAATGGGTATATGGGCCTTGAAGTAAGTCCAGCTAATTATATTTGCTATCTTCTGCATGTCCAAACGGGTTTGATCGGATCGAATCCGTGCGGGGTCCGGATGGGTTGGCGGGCCCTTGGCCATGTCTACAAACAACGTTGACAAATATTTTTATTTATTTATTTTTTTTAGTGCAAAAGAAGGAGGCCACATATTTAAAATTATGACACTAAAATTCGACGTGGTTGGGACACCCCTCGAAACGTCATGCAAATATTTTTAAATTTAATACAATAATCTGCAATTTACTCAAATAGCCAATTTTTTCGTTATCACATTTTTAGTTTTAACAGAAAATAAAAATATTTTACGACAAAAGAACATTAAGGGCTTGATTGTTTATGAAATAATTTGTTCAATTTGAATTATTTTGATTAACTATAGTTAATTTTAAAAAAGGTAGTATGATTAGTTGTAGTGGAATTTTAAAAATGTATTAAAATAATATTTAAAATAAATAATTAACATTGATTTGATGTAAAAGTAAGAGATAAATGATTGGAAATGATTGTAAATGATTGGAAATGATAGGTAGTTAAAATTATGTGAGTGGATGAATAGTGAATTAAAGTTGATGTGATGTGTAATAATGATTGGTTTGTATTATTTAATTATATGAATAATATTAAAGATAGTAGGGTTGAGTTAAAGTTGAGTTAAATTTTGAATTGAAATAAAAGTGGTAAATTATTTTGTAAACAAACATCCCCTAAAATATGCATAGAGAGAGGGAAAGTGTAGAGAGAGAGAGAGTATGTGTGTGAGAGAGAGAGCATGAGAGAGAATAGGTGAAGACTTGCTGCTCAGTGACGTCAGCGATCTCGGAGGAGAAACCTTGTTGATTTCTGTTCATATATTTCCCATCTGCCATGGAAGGTAAACTAGAATTTCAATTCAATTATCCTTTTTTTTTTGCCAGCCCTAATTTCTTCTCGCTTTTGTTTTCTGTTCGAATTGCTTGGATTTTTGACTGAACTATGGATCGATTTCTACCGGTTCTTCAGGTCGATTCTACTGAATTTGCCACTGAGAACTATTTTTGAGCGTTTTCAGTAGAGCTGCTCGAAACACTGTAGTTGTGTGTCAGCTCATGATTGTGGTGAGATTGGTTCTAGCTAGAGATGTTAAACGGGCTAGCCCTAGCGGTTTCGGGCTAGCCCTAGCGGGCTTCGGGTTAAACGGTCCGGGCCTAAAAAGCCCGGATTTTAACGGGCTACCAAAAAAAGGACCTAACCCTAACCCTAGCGGGCTTCGGGCTAAACGGGCTACGCGGGCTGTAATAATAATAATAATAATAATAATAATAATAATAATAATAATAATAATAATAATAATAATAATAAATAAATAAATAAAAAATAAAGAGTAAAAAGTATATAAAAAATAACAACGGATAGTTAAAAATTGTTTTCAACGACTATTTAGTATTTATCGTCTATCACTATGTTTCATGTGTCTGCTATTGGTCATTCTGATTGGCTTAAGTATTTTGGTATGAAGTATAACAATATTGTTAATAATTATCTTTCAAAATTATAATAATCCATTACACTCATACTTCGATGTGAAGTGGCATACCAATATTGTAATATACAAAGAATCTAAGAGCATATTACTTATTTGGTGCAAACATTAACACCGCTCAGCCCTAGTTAAACGGGCCAGCCCTAGCGGGTTTCGGGCTAGCCCTAGCGGGTTTCGGGCTAAACGGTCCGGGCCAAAAAAGCCCTGATTTAAACGGGCTACTAATAAAATGACCTAACCCTGTTTTTTTCCGGGCTAAACGGGCCGGCCCGTCGGGCCAAAGACCATTTAACATCTATACCTGTAAGTCAGGAGTTGCAAGTGAATTCAACATTGACTTTATCGAGTTAGAATATTCTTTTTTTATTTAATGTTGTTCAAGCTCTGCGAACCGAACAACTTAAATAAAAAAAATAATAATTACAAATTAGAAGTATTTAAATAATTAAATGTATATTCAAGCGGCCCATCCACCGATCGAGCCTAAGAGACTAAAGCCACGAGCTCGAGCTTAAATTCGAAATGATCGAAATTCGAGTTGCTTCTACATTTAATTTTCCCTCAATGATTCAATAACATTTAAAGGGATATAATTATGTGTATGTGTACAAATCATTATTGAATTAGTCAATTATTTTGGATGATTAACTACTAATCATGAGCTAGTTAATTAAACAATTATATCAGTTTAAATCACACGTAATCTTCAAAAATTACTTTTTTGAAAGCAAATATAAATGAATGATCCCCATATCTCACTATCTCATAAAATAATAAAAGGTCGCATCAAGTAAAAATCAACAGCTCAGATTCTGGATTAGCTCACGAGTCATATCATATCGTACATTGGATATGACTATATAATTGATTTATTATTTAGTTACTAATCAATGTCCATATACCCTTGTTAATTACAGTTAATCAATAGCACTTATCAAGCTTAATTACCCCTTTTTTTTTTTTGGTAGTCAAGCCACGGTTCTGGAGTTATGCCCCGATTAATCCGTTGGTCGACCGGGGTCGCACACCTGATAGTGGTGGGTGAGTCTCCCAACAAGGTGATGTAGCGCAGCGATAAACAATAGGAAAACAAGAGATGAAATCTCAAAGTTCTTAATTTTTATTCAACGATAATTGTCTTCATAAGAGAGAAGAAGGGAATAAATAA